TTGTTTCTGATTTCAAATACTGCAATTAAATAAGGAATGTACGTGGTTTTACTCAAACGATCATTTTCTATAATTCAAACAAAGATGTTGCGCAGCCATAGTACTTCCTATTTGCTGAGCGGTATTGCATAAGGTTTCCTATCAAAATCATCACCAAAAAACCTTGGTCGCTAATTCTCTCCAAGATTCTTAGTTGCCTTGCGTTTAGTGATGAATTCTATTTAATTGCGAATTTTTCCAAAAATGTCAAATGTGACGTCTTGAATCCCTTTGTAGCTCATGCTTGATCGTTGCATTCGGCTGGTCTCCTTCTTATCTGCCAGCAGCACTAAGCTTTCGTCGATATGTTTGAAAGTGATTACTTCACTTTCAATATCCCAAAAGACTCCAAAGCACTGATTTAGAATTCTACTTTCTACATATTTTGCTATATTCGGTCTTTTTCAGCACTAGCAAACCAGGTTCAATTGCCTCTACAGACACAGCTTCAAGCTCTCTTCCCGACACGTATTGGGTGAGTATTATAGAATCTCTTTGTATTTATGTAGTAACCTAAGTTACCGAGTTACTGGTACCATCGGTGTGGTGTCAGGGCAACGAGCATCCCTGCTGCTGTGTTCGACGAATCCATATCATTTTAGCTGTATGCCCTGTGGTTGAGACGGAATAGTGAAACAAACAAACAAACAGAAAATGTAAGGTTAGGCGTGCGTGTGCAGATTGATTCCATGCTGTGTGTGAGGGTGGCGGGCTTTGACGATTCCTAGCCCGTCCACCTAGCCTGTCTAGCTAGGTGATCGTGGTGAGGTTGTCGAAAATCCATCTCTCAAAATTTTGATTCCATCATAAACCGAAGTAACTAGCTAGCTTTGTGAGGTTGGCACGCAACAAGCAACCATATATTATTATTCCATTCACTTTCCTCTTTTGGCCACCCACATTTATCTAATTCTTTTCGCAACTAACAGCGATTCGTGCCGGCACGCATGTGCGTTTGGGGTGAGCTGCGTGTGATGTGTGAAACAGAGGAATGCTTACTGTTGCCGTTTGCAGACTACCGCAGCTCTACTACCCGTCTGCTGGACTAATGAACCCACTTCTTGGAGCAGCTGCCGCCCAGAGCCAGGGAGCTGTGGACTACACGGCTCTTGCAGCAGCCGTGGCTAATGGACAAGGTGCCGGAGCGTACGCAATTCCTCAGGCGGGATCACGATTTCAGGGTAAATAACTGACGGAGTTAGATGCTAATACCTTGTTAAGAGCAAAGTTTTGCCTGTAAATTCTGTAAAAAAGCAAGTAATTCAAAAGTTTTTTTGGGAGCTCTAAATATAATAGATCTTATAAAATGCTTACA